ATACATCTAGCCTAGCTCTTCCTGGTCCATCCACATCAAGAGAGATGTGTAATCCCAAAGTTCTGCAAACCAAATTTGATTCAGGTAACATGTTTCAATAATTTGCAATACATGACAGATAAATCAAGGCATCATCCCTAAGATTTTATATTATTTGCATTCTGTTGTATAATTATATTTGTAACCCTTTTTTGTTGAGTGATAGCTAATGTATAATGGCTTAAAACAGGGATGGCGAATCTATGAAACAGAGAGCCATATTTCTAAATAAAATGTTTAGTGACTTTATTGTTTTTTACTAAAATGCAACCATTTTTATCGGTTGCATGCCAAAATTGTGTGTTCCATTGATTCTTCCTCTCTAGCATAAAACATACCCTTTACTAGTGCAATAAGAATAAATTAATATTTATTTAAAAATGAAAGAAAAATAAATATATTTGTATTGCTTTTCAGGTAAAACACTTGAATTTATACAAAAACAGAGTCACAAAAAGTATAAGAGAAAAGAAAGACAGATGCAGAATGAAATAAGGAGGTTACGACTTAAAATTAAGGCTATCAAAATGCGCCTGATGGAAAATGAAAAAAGCTCTGTGAGGAGGGATTTCAACAAACTTATGAATAAAATGACTGAATCTGCAAAGATGTTTACCAGGATGCAGTTTGAAGAGGGACCAAAAAAAAAGAAAGGTCATAGATTTAGGTTAAATGAAAAAAATTTATGCCTTTCCTTGTTTAAGAAAAGCCCTAAGGCTTACAAACTAATGTGTAAACATTTTACATTACCTTCTCAAAAGGTTCTAAAATCTTTACTTTCCCAAGTTAAACTGTCCCCAGGGATAAATGATCAAATTTTCAAAGAATTAAAAGTTAGTGTCGAAAAGATGTTGCATCAAGATCGTCTGTGTACATTAATATTCGATGAAATGTCAATTGCTCCTCACATTCATTACAATGTTTACACAGATGATCTTGTTGGATTTGAAAATTATGGGAATCAAAAGACAGAAAAATTTGCCAATCATGTATTAGTGTTTATGGTCAAGGGTATAAAAAAAAATTTTAAACAACCAGTAGCTTACTATTTTACTCAAACATTGCAAAGTACTAAATTAAAAGAATTTATTAAAGAAGTTGTAAGTAAAGTGCAAGCTACTGGTTTAAAAATAATAGCAACTGTTTGTGACCAAAGTACAGTGAATGTGAGTGCTATCAATAGTTTGATATCAGAAGCTAAAAGTACATATTTCCAAGCAGAAAAAGAATGGCGAAATGATGTAATAATTATTGATAGCACTGAAATAATTCCACTTTTTGATGTTCCACATTTAATAAAGGGAATCAGAAACAATTTAATAAATAAAAATATGCAATATGAACATGAAAGACAAATAAGACTCATTAAGTGGGAATATTTTCAAATGGTTTATGAAGCTGACAGGTCTCATGGCGAGTTGCGTCTTCTGCCTAAATTGACTAACGAACATGTGGATCCAGGCAAAATAAAAAAAATGAGAGTGAAAAATGCAGTACAACTTTTAAGCCATAGCTTGGCTGTAGCAGTGGATAATTTAGTAGCAAGGGGGGAAATACCCACTGAATGCCAGGATCTTATACCATTTACTTTGTTGATGGATAAATTATTTGATTCCCTGAATTGTTCAAGTTTCTCACCACCTCATGGCAAAATATATGGAGCTGCTGTAAGAAGAAATTCTCCTCATCACAAATTGTGGCAAGAAGCCTTAATAATGTTAAAATCAGTTAAATTTCTTACAAAGAAAGGTGATGGGGAGACTGTAGAGAAATCTGTACCTAGTGTAAATAATATCCTACGAACAATAGAAGGTTTTAAATCAATATGGCAGCTGTTATCGATGAAGTATTCATTTGACTCAATGTTGACTCGCAATTTTAATCAAGACCCACTCGAAAACTTCTTTGGTAGTATTCGCAGTTTGGGTGCTCGCAATGTTGCACCGAACTGTGTCGGATTCGAGGGAGCATTTAAGACTCTATTGCTGAATAATTACAGCAGTGATCATGCAATTAATTCAAATTGTGAAGAGGACACCAATAAATGTCTAAAATCATTGAAATTCTTTATAAAAAATAAAAACATGAGTAATGCTCCATCACAGTCTCTTAACATTGTTTTAGATCATGCCCTGAATGCTATACAAAACACAAATAGTAATTCAGATTCAGGGGCTGATCAAAGAGCATATGTCTGCGGGTGGGCCTTGACTAATTGTCTTAAAAAAATTGTCAAAGGGTGTAAAAATTGTAAAAGCAAATTATTAGGTCATGCAGATAAAGATACAAATAAATTTATTAAGGCAAAAGAATATAAAACGAATAAGACATGGCTTTGCTATCCCTCAGATGACCTAGTAATTTGTTTCCAAGAAATTCAAAATGTGACAATAGCATTTATTAATAACGACTGCCATGAAAAAAATTTGAAACAAAGAATCAACTCATTTTTGGAGTTGTTTTCCAATTTTACTTTTATAAATTGCAACGAACACAGAGATAAAGTAAAGAAATATTTTACAGATACTTGTATTAATATAATTATTTACAGCTGGTGCAGATCTATAAATAGAATATTAGAAGGGAAAATGTCATATCAAGGGGATGATAAAACGAAAAAATCTGCTCTAGATTATTATAATAAGCATAAGTGCAATATTATTAAAAAATAATAAAGGATCGTTTTGCCTAATAATTTTGTATTTTATTTCTTAAGCCCGAAAACATCATAAATGAAAACAAAGCTAGATAGGTACTGTATTGTATATATGTATGTATACCTATATATAGGCAATCGATATTAGTTCACTCGTCAATCTCCAGTTGGCAGAACTTTCCATACATGCAAATTTTTGCACAGAGTAGCTACTCTTTCTCCTATATATTACCATACTCTTTGACCCAGTCGCAAATGCGCCGCCGCGCCGCAACGACGACCGAACGGTCTGAATTGTTTTTTATGCAGTTAGCCGTGCTTAAAAGTGCGTTTTGTATTGTAAATATTTGATTTAATTAAGCAGATACCTACATAATTTAGTATGGAAAAGAACAAACGACGATCAATATCGTACAACAGCACAATTGCTGTTTTTGGTTGCTTGAACTCTTCAATAACACACCCAGAGATATGTGTCTTACCTTTATAGAATATTTTTATATACCTATCTACTAGTACGTTATTTGTTTCTAATATTTAGGTATTTCGGTTTTTCCATCGGGCAAAATATCTGGAATAATATATAAATAAGTGGTTACGATGAAAAAAGAGACAAACGAGTAATCTACCTACACTCGCGTTTAAAACAAAACTACATAAAATACTGTAGGCTGGCGGCCCTACCGCGTGCCAACGCAGCGCTCGGTGTAGGCATTTATTTTCAAGGACAGGGCGGAGTCACAATACTGTATAGATAATATTACCGTGCCAATGTCTGCCTGTAATTCTGTGCCAATCAGTGTTGTCAGGTTCAATTTTTAAAAATCGGGAGGCGTTTTAGAAAACAGCAGTATAGAAAGAGCTACAAGAAAACCAGTAGATGCAGAGGCGTACTTTAACGTACTTTATCCCTTGCACCCCCCCCCCTCCCCCCCTCATAGAATTGGTAAATCAAATCAAGGTATAGGCCCGTAACGAATGTGTTGTGCCTTCTGCCGCCCCTCAAAGCATGTTTTTCTTAAGACAATAACAGAGATAGATAACAAGAAAAACAGTAGAACAGGAGAAATTTCAGAAAAATCAATCGATATTAGTTCACTCGTCAATCTCCAGTTGGCAGAACTTTCCATATATGCAAATTTTTGCACAGAGTAGCTACTCTTTCTCCTATATATTACCATACTCTTTGATAGCGAGAGAGCATTTATTGCTTCTACATAAAATACTTATGTTTCCATAAAAACAAAACGATAGCGCGATTCAATAGACTATTCCTGCCATCTAGTATACAAAACGTTAACCTGATTCTTAACACTACGTCAGATTTAATAAACCTGGTTTGTCACAAATGATAGTTATCAAATGAAAGCAGTGCTGAAGTCAAGCAGAACTATAGCCATTATCCATTGCATGCCAAATGCCCTCAGTAACATGAAGCTGTAATCCAACAGTGCTATGTGAAGGACTGACGCCAGATTGCTGGGGAAACAGTTAAAGAATAAGATGAGATAAAGCAATAAAAGGAACTGACCTACGATTTGTCGTTGCCGCAGTTGCACGCGGACGCTGTGCCTCCCAGCCGCGCCTAAGCACACTAGAGGGTAGGGGGTTACTGACCTGCGGCTCGTCGTCGCTGCAGTCGCACGCGGCCGCTGTGCCTCCCAGCCGCGCCTAAGCACACTAGAGGGTAGGGGGTCACTGACCTGCGGCTCGTCGTCGCTGCAATCGCACGCGGCCGCTGTGCCTCCCAGCCACGCCTAAGCACACTAGAGGGTAGGGGGTCACTGACCTGAGGCTCGTCGTCGCTGCAGTCGCACGCGGCCGCTGTGCCTCCCAGCCGCGCCTAAGCACACTAGAGGGTAGGGGGTCACTGACCTGCGGCTCGTCGTCGCTGCAGTCGCACGCGGCCGCTGTGCCTCCCAGCCGCGCCTAAGCACACTAGAGGGTAGGGGGTCACTGACCTGCGGCTCGTCGTCGCTGCAATCGCACGCGGCCGCTGTGCCTCCCAGCCGCGCCTAAGCACACTAGAGGGTAGGGGGTCACTGACCTGAGGCTCGTCGTCGCTGCAGTCGCACGCGGCCGCTGTGCCTCCCAGCCGCGCCTAAGCACACTAGAGGGTAGGGGGTCACTGACCTGCGGCTCGTCGTCGCTGCAATCGCACGCGGCCGCTGTGCCTCCCAGCCACGCCTAAGCACACTAGAGGGTAGGGGGTCACTGACCTGAGGCTCGTCGTCGCTGCAGTCGCACGCGGCCGCTGTGCCTCCCAGCCGCGCCTAAGCACACTAGAGGGTAGGGGGTCACTGACCTGCGGCTCGTCTTCGCTGCAGTCGCACGCGGCCGCTGTGCCTCCCAGCCGCAACCGCAACGCGCGCGGTCTCGCCTCCAGCGCCTCCACGGCCGCCTCGACCACGTTCGAGCACACGTTGTCGCACCCGCACGCGTCCACCTCCTGAACAATAAAACTCATTAATTCATATTAAGTAACTAAACAAAATTTAAGTTAAATAATAATGGACAACATTGCACGGATCTGTGATCCTTATTCATACAGTTTCCTTTTTATTGAAAGGTCTTAAGTGCAATTTATCTATTTATTTTGGTTACATGGAAGACCATGCAATTATTTATTTATTTATTTATTTTATTCTTCTTTACCAAAATACAGTAAATGGCGGACTTAATGCCATAGGCATTTTCTACCCGTTTAATTATGCGATTTCTGTAAAGAAAACTTGATTATTATCTGTACGACGTCCACCGCTGTGCTCAGGCCTCCCAAACGGATCTCCGCCCCTATCAATCCTGCGCATATACAGCGACATTCACCTGCGCGGCAGGCGGGCGGGGCGGGGCCGGTACCTCGAGCTGGTGGCAGGCGCGCAGCACGTGCGCGAGCGGCGCGGAGGAAAGCGCGTCGCTGCCGCGCGCCACGAACGGCGCAGGCGCGGCCGGCGGGAGGGGCGCGGCCGGTACCTCGAGCTGGTGGCAGGCGCGCAGCACGTGCGCGAGCGGCGCGGAGGAGAGCGCGTCGCTGCCGCGCGCCACGAGCCGGCGCAGGCGCGGCAGGCGGGAGGGGCGGGGCCGGTACCTCGAGCTGGTGGCAGGCGCGCAGCACGTGCGCGAGCGGCGCGGAGGAGAGCGCGTCGCTGCCGCGCGCCACGAGCCGGCGCAGGCGCGGCAGGCGGGAGGGGCGGGGCCGGTACCTCGAGCTGGTGGCAGGCGCGCAGCACGTGCGCGAGCGGCGCGGAGGAGAGCGCGTCGCTGCCGCGCGCCACGAGCCGGCGCAGGCGCGGCAGGCGGGCGGCGGCGCGCAGGCCAGCGTCGGTGAGCGCGCCCAGGTAGGACAGGTCCAGCGTCTGCAGCATGCAGCACCCGCCGCACACTGCGCGCACGCCCTCGTCACCAACGCCTGTGTAGCGAACACCGGGTATTATTATAACTCTGCACTATTTCTCTTTTTTTTTTTTAATTAAAGTAAGTAAACATAAATGACGGTGAATTTAGTATTAAATCAAGTATTACATCTTAGCTAGGGTAAAGTATCGACAATGCCTGGCCGACATTACTGCACTGCCCCCCCCTCTCTCTCTCTATAAATATTGAAATTTACGATAATATAAGTCAAATTTTTCCTACCTGGACTAGAGAAATTCCTTATGGAGTTACAGCTGGATATATTCAGTGACTCCAATTTGGTGCATGTTTGACTAATTTTCTTCAGCACAGCATTGTTTATATGAATATTTCTACTTAGATTCAGTACTTTTAATTCTTTTAGTTGTCCTAGTGATTCACAGAAGGCATCGCTGTTTTGAGCTGAAAGGCCGTCGTGAGATGTGTATTCACTAAGAGATAGTTCTTCCAGATTCGGGACTTTATTCAAAATCATTGGAATGATCTTCCACATAGCGACGGGGCAGACGTCCAACTTTAAGGTTGTCAAATTGGGTATAGTGTCTATCGCAGCGCAGAGTACAGTTCCTTGTAAGCTGTAGCAGTTGTAGAATGAAAGAGAATGTAATTTTGTCGTATTCGATCCCGTGAGGAAGAGCCCAGTGACGTGCGTATTGTTCGCTACCGTCAGTACTTCGATGCAGGAATCATTTTTTACAAGATGAACTAGGCTGGAATCTGTAAGCTGAAATTATAATATAATTTTATTAGAAAAAAAAATAATATAACTATTCATTAAATAAGCTCAGAGAATATTCAACTTCAACTCACTTTATTACAGGAGACAAAGGCGAGGTTCTTAAGTTGCTTACATCCATAAAGCAGAGGGTTCCAGTTTTTTGTATACATACCAACAACCTGTAAGACAAAAAAAAATTAAACACATTAATGCCAGTCAGACAATAGGCAATTTCACAGTATGAAAAGTAAAGTACCAATTTTGGCATGTGTATTTAACATGAATATTGGAAGCGATTTCACTATTCAGCCAAAAAAATTGTTTATTGTAATAAAAAATCTGAAATAAAAAGCATTTTTTGATCTATTGTCACGCGAAAACGCTTTGACTCCTTGTGAACATCCTGATGAAGTGACATTACTTATTTTGACGACCTCCGTGGCCGAGTGGTTTGTACGCCGGGTTTCATGATGTCACCGACTCGAGAGGTCCCGGGTTCGAATCCCGGTGGGGGCAGATGTTTGTGTGATGAATACGAGCATTTGTACTCCAGTCATGGTTCTTGTGGATGTTTAATATGTATTTCTACTTATATAAATAAACTTATATATACAGTATATGTATTCTATCCGTTACCCTAGCATCCCATAACACAAGCCTTACAGTGCTTACTTTGGGGCTAGGCTGATTGGTGTGAGTGTTCGAAATATTTATTTATTACTTAGTACTGTTTGATATTTTAATGAGAGCCGTGTGCCGTCACCTGCTTGTAAATATGCCATATTTGGTAAAGAAACGTTTCGGTGACATATATGAAACAAAAATGTTTTCGTTTTTTTACTGATATATGCAACAGAATTATAAATATCATCTTTCTATGGAGTCACTGCAGCACTCGCCTTATTAATAAACTGATGATGATAAGGGTTCTGGTACCTTAAGTTCCTCAAGATTCGGGCAGAACTTGCCGATAGTGTGGGCCGTGCGGTCATTGAGAGCGGACAGCTGGTGGTCTATATGCAAACGCAGCAGGGACGAGCCGAGTCGTTGCAGCACCCGCCTCAACACTGCCGTAGTGAGCCGCGATTGCTCGTGCACCCACCACGAAGTCTTAAATGTACGGATGCCTGCATCGTAAAATAACACTACCTTTTAGTGGTGTCGTGTCTCTGTCGGTGAATAAGGTTCCAGGGCTCCATCGTTTATGGAAATAAATGTCGCCCCCGCGGGGATTGCCACAAGAGGCAAAAGGGAATGAAGTCATTCCCCCCACTTCAGTGTTTTTATTTCCATTTGCCTCCAGTGGCAAATCCGCGGGGGTCACTGGGAATACATATATAGATAATGGGGTAAGAGTAGGCAAGTGTTTATAGGCTATGGTGGCCAGTGGCGTGCCCGAGGTTTAGACTTAGGGCAAGCCCGAAGCTCAAATTCAATCAAATAGTACTACTAGGTGTGAGCGTTCTAAAGACGAACCGGTTTCAAGGACCGTTTTGTGTTCCGCGACGATAGAACCGTTTCAAGTTTCGGATCAAAACAGTCTTCGTCGAACAACTAGTCCTCGGATTGTCTGCACGCCAATATGTACTTTATGATGAAGTAAATACAGTCTATAAAAGAACGCAATGATATGAGGCCGTTTCGTTCCATGATAATTAAGCTTTGATTTTACAATAATATAATCTTTATTTATTGAACATTTAAAGTCGATTATCGTATAACACAACATTTATTTCGATGTTTCGTCGCCTAGTTCGCAGCAACGAAACGAACGTTAACAAGATTTCATTTAGTTCAGTTTCGTTGCGTTACATTCTTTCGACCGTCGCGTGTCGTTTCGTTGCGTCACCCGGCCGCAACCAAAACCAGTTGCGAACGAGAACCGTTTCGAGGACTAGTTTTCATTTAAGAAAAAACGGTTGCGTTTCGTCGTCAGCAAATTTGAGATCGACCCACCGCTAAGTACTACTATGTCTATCTACAACTTCCTGCTGCATTAGATGACCTAACCATTTAAAATAGATTGTGTCACAGACTACTACCAATAATGAGTATTGAAACAAAACACTATATACATCCTTGCTTTAACGCAACCATATCATGATGTAGAATTTATTAGCGCCATCTAGCAAGTGGTAGCGAAACTTAATATAACAATGAAAAGGTTTTATAATTTTAGATTACACAATGAAAAATTATCTAATTGAGAACACAAATTTTGACAGCTCCGTAATCGTATCGTCAAATTTTGTATCGAAGGAGCCAGTTTGTTCTTACGTCTGGTAGGGACACTGCTTAGTTTTCATTCGTGCTTGGACCTCAGATAGCGTCATATCGTAATGAGCGAATGTTTCCGGGGGGCATCACGCCAAGATCCACAGGAATTGTTGGGCAATTATATAATAATTTGTAAAAGCCTTGATAAAGATAACACTAAAGTAAATAATAAATTAAAACAAACTTACTCTGAAGGTACTCTTGTATCATATTTTGCCAAGACTTGCTGACTCTTTCTGATCTTATTAGATCTTTGATAGGAATGAATGATAAAATGTGAGTCATACAGTCCCTGTTTAGAATGTCCAATATGTTATATGGATCTTCAGTTTCTGAAGAACCCCCTTCTACCTAAAACATATAATAATAAAGAATAATAAGTATTTTTATTATTAATATTATTCCTTTGATTTAATAATATTCAGCCTGAAACTTACTTTAACAAAATTTTCCTCTGGAACATTTACTTCATCATTTTCTGAAGAGGAGGTAGCAGAAGGTCCATCTACTGAATAACAATTTTGTAAATATGAACAAGAAAAAAAAAAATTTATTAAATGGTTTTATTTTAAAATAATGCTTAAAAATAATAAACAAAATGTCCTAAAAGCTAAAAAAATATCCTAGGTACCAGAGATCACACCACTATTTGGTAGATATTTTCTTTTTACAAACTTTAAGTAATGTTTCTCAATTGTCTTCCTCAACAATAGTCACCTAGCATTACTGGCATCCACTTGCCGTCATATTTTGGTAAATATAATAAATTGCTTTACCTTGAGGATCAATGCCATTGGAAGCAGGTAAGGGAATTTCTCCATCGTGACGCTGACCACGAGGCTTCCAGCGCACTCGTCCATCGGCATCCTCGGCAGGCTGGTGCCAACTGTCAGCTGGTGATATCCTCAAGTTACGGCCTCGCAGCATCTTCTCATGGTTAGGAGCTTGAAGTGCCCTTTAAAAACATACATTTGTTCTACACGTCCATTTGAAAAGCTCTATATAATAAAACTAATCATTCCTATATGTACTATCTAACAAACTGATTCCAAACCCACTTGGCCTATAATAGGGAATATGCATGTAATTCAAATAAGGCTATTTTGTTTTTACATCAATTTATTTTTTTGCTAGTAATTAATTATTGAAAAGTGCTAAAAACTCATGAGAAATTCATATATCTGAAACGCGATAAAGCGGTTGTGACGTAGAGATACATAGCAACAAATCAACAAACAAGCGCCATGTTCACTGGATATGTCAAAATCAATGAGACCTAGTGCGAATACGTAGTTTTCCAAACCTCACCTCCTAATCAACTGTGTACTTATTGTTTGTTGCTACGTTGCTTTGTACTGTGACGTCACACTACGTTCCAAAATAGCGCGCGTTTTTAATGCCAGAGTAAAGAGGATATTTTTAACATAATTTTTACACATTACACAATTTTTTCAAAGTTGAATTGTTTTTTACTATATTAGAGGATGTCCTTGTATGTTTAGTACACTGCAGGTGGAGCAAAATAATTAAAGTTATTTGACAATTTTTAAATTATCAACTTTATATATTCATATTATATATTTATTTAATGTTTAGTTCTGAACTTGATAATGATGGAAACTCTTTTCAATGTTTGTCTCCTGCTAGCAACTGCACTGACGCTAGTTTTTTCAGTATACCCTCCCTTTTTGATTGCATTGACAGTGACTTTCCGATTTTCCTAAAATTTTTAATGTTGTTCATATAAATGCCCAAAGTGAATGCTGTGTTTGCATTTATAAGATTTGTGATACTGTTAAGATACACTGTATGTAATTATTTTGTCATTTTCACAATTCGGTTTTGCAAACCAAATAAAAAAAAAACTAACCTGTGTTCATTGCTCGAACACACTTTGTATGTAGATTAAGACAGGGAGGCTTAAGATTGGATGTGACCTAAGATCAGAAGCAAAAAATTTACCACAGATGACAACATAATTTGGCCTGCCATTAAATTTTTTGGCTTCCCCTCATACCAAAACAATGTTACACAAAGCAAGGCACATATAAAGGTGAAATTAAGCAGTAGTCTGAAGTTTGGCTTCACTGAAGTGTTTTGTAGGGTAGTCAGAAAAAACATTCTGTCACTTTGTAGGTCTTTTGAATGAATCAAAATAAATAAAATATGACTAGATAGTTATTTTCATTGGTAATAACTTTCACTAAGAGTCAGAATTTGGAAAATACTTGTAAAAATATTTTCAAAAATATCACAAGTCAAAAGTGTCAGCTCTTAGGAAACCTAACAAACCTTCTGTTTCTGTACTATTTTGTGGCTGTATTATATGACGGTCCTGCTGCCTGACTGTTTTCCTTCAACAATATGTCAAAGGGAGGCAGTAAAATCTGTTACATTAAGAATAAAAATTACAAGAAAGTTTCCATGGATTATGCGAAAGTCTACCTTATTTTTTTGCAATGGTTGTAAAAATATAAACTTAAGGCGATTCAGGAATCACCGCCGCTTCTGCCCCATGATTGAAAGTACGTATGTGTGAACTGAGGTACCAGAAGGAATTCCACTACTATAACCACATATTTAAAACAGCTATTACAAAATATGTATATTTCAACAACCTAATAAAAATGTAAAGGAGACCTTCGACTTCTTCCCAATTTTGGTATAAATTTTAATATTATACTTAAAAAGTCTCACCGCAAAATTCAAATAGCATGTTTTTGAATGAATTAGTAGAATTAAATAAATAAAAAAATTAAATTGGTTCATACCAGTTAAAAAGGGTCTAAAATGGGTATGTATCTGAAATGGGTTTGTGTGGAAATATAAATAATAATGCGAACTTACTTGTGAGCATCAGCTGGGTTGCCAAATGTGACAAATGCATAGGTAGGTGTTGGAGTTTTATTAGGACCTTTGTCACCCATTCTCAACCAACAACTTTTGATAAAACCATACTGAGCAAAAACATTGAACAGCTCTGCACGTGTAGTCTACAAATATATCACAATGTTATAACAAATAATGCATTAAGGACTATTCTTATCTTAGCAATGAGAGCAATAAAATTGTCAAAATAATGTATTAACACATTGACCCTATGAACTAACCTTGGGTGGTAGATTGGATACATACAATTTTCTGATTGGTATACCATCTTCTGTATGGGTGGGTACATTTCTCAACCCGTAGTACGGCGAAATTTCTAAATTCGAGGTAATAGCATCTGAAACAAATTTTATAATGAAACTCATATTGAAATAAGTGAAAATTGCACATTGTATCTAAATACATACAAAGTTCTCGATGCACAACATGAAGAATTTCAGGATTCATAAATCGCTCATCTTCGTCGTCGAAAAACATGGCGCAGATGTTAATTCACAAAAAGTTATGAACTAGTCACAAAAAATAACATTCGGACATAATTCTATTGGGACACAAATATATACAGAAAATTTGGAGCAATTCTCAAAATAAATAATTGTTTCGCAAACGCAGACAACATTCACTCAACGGCCGTGTCGTGCACAGAAAAGTATTGCCAGGACTCGACCACAGATCACTATAAATGTAGCAAGCTAGACTCGACAACCATAGGGCACAGACTAGATAGATACTACTACCGTACCGATATGCCACATTGGTGGTCTCAAACGTCATTGTCCGAAATCGGTACAGCTGCCCACTTAAATCCATATAAATTCTAAGTCTTTGTATAAATTAGTACCCTAAATCGGTATATGACAAAAAAATACAGTATTCATCAAAGAAAACTTACAGTCTAAGGGTACGGCCACAGTGCAAGCTGATTCAGAATCAGATTCAGACTCAGAAAACAACAAAACAAGTGTAGTTTAAGCAGGTTGCCTGCTGCCACTATGGCCACCCTACTTAAACTACACTGTTCATTTCTCGCGCTTTCCTCAAGCTGATATCTCACGAGCCAGTTTGTTGAGTCTGAACCTGATTCTGAATAAGCTTGCACTGTGGCCGTACCCTACGGGTACGGCAACAAATATCTCCACAATCTCTTGGATATTTTGGCCAAGAGAAAATAACGTAAGGTTTGGAGGTCTTCGGATCTTGTGCCATGTTGAGTTATGGCACAGTGCTATGAAGGCTGCTCTAATGACACGTGATATCATAATGCTATAATAAATTATTATGTTATATTTTCTGTTTTAATAATTATGAAACCACAACGAATTATAATGGTACTAGCTGTCCCAGCGAACTCCGTACCGCCAAAAAATTAGGGGTTGGTGGTAGTAGGGTGAAAATTTAGGGTTGTATTTATTTTTGTATGATGTAGGGGTGAAGGATTGATTTCTAAACGTAACTTTAAGTTTAATGTATGCTGTAACTACATTTTAATATTGGCAGCACTGGCTGTGACAAACGTCAAGTTCGGCTCAAGGACAAAGTATGCACGGCCAGAATAAATTTAAAAAAAACAAACGTCAAGGAACATAGAGTCCGCGCCACGACTTATGTCCGATAGACGCGGCGCCTCTGTCTTGTAACAAAATGTTGCCAGTAGGAAGAAATTTTCTCCCACATCTCATTACTTCAAAATTATTTTTATTCATCGGAATTAAATATTTTTTGTAACTCAAATAATGACACAAAGAATATTTATCAGTAAAACAATATTATAAAGTTTAATATAATTTAATGCAATAATTGTGGTCATCATGATACAATTCTTTTACGCCAGATATATCGCAATCACTGTTGCTCAATTCTTCCTCGGTGGAATCATCAGATTCAGTATCACTATCACTCTCTGTTGATATTATGAATCTCTCCATTTCCACATCAACTAGTCCGTCATTTTTAAAGTACTCATCTTCAAGATGTTCCACGTGGTTACACTGAACGCTCCAGTCTTCTGGCGTAACACTAGCAAAAGCAGCTTCTGTCAATTATATTATTCTTTTTGGATCTTGAGCAACATTTTTATCAGCAACGCGTCTCTTTACCAAACTCCAAATTTTTTCGATAGGATTTAGGTCACAGTGGTAAGGAGGTAATTTTACCACTTCGTGATTGTGTTGTTTCAGTAGTTCATCAACTGCAAAGAGCGGTGGTTCTTTGTTTCTTTTAATGATATCATATAACACTGGTTTAGTCCATCTCTCTTCAAAATAAATTTGTTTTTGTCGTAACCACTCCTGCATATGTGATTTTGAGCTTGACATCGTAGGAGCTTTGTTTATCTGAGTGCAATGATACGGAGCATTATCCATTACCACAAGAGATTTTTCAGGCAGATTTGGTACCACTTTTTCAGTCATCCATTTCAAAAAGTTTGTGGCGTTCATATCGTCGTGATAATCTGCAGATTTTGATTGTGACCTAAACATTAATAACGCATTTTTTACAAATCCGCTCTTAGTACCCGCATGTGCAATTATAAAACGTTTTCCAGCTGATTCTGATATCAATAATCCATCTTCTTCTTTGCTTTGCCAACAGCTTTTAGCGTGATATGTCGGATGAATGTAAGTTTCATCTAAGTACACCACAGGCCTTTTGTCAACTAGCCTATTTTTCCTCATTCTTTCAATGTACCTGGCGCGCCAAGCAGTTATATCATGTCGCTCCATCAACACTTTGCGTTTAGATTGACAACGTTTGAATCAAAAAAATTACAGTTTCAATATTCTTCGTAAAGTTGTATTACTCCCTTGAAAATTTATATCCCTTTTTAATTCCAAACGCAGTTTATTAACAGTAGGCAATTATTTTTTCACCACATAGAAAAAATGAATTTTTTGGCGTATGCAACACAAATCAAAGTCATCCAAATCAATTTTCTTAGCTTGTGGACGACTTTTTCCAGGAGTAACAATTTTATTTGATGTTGCCATTGCAGTTTTTCCTTCTTTAGATCTTGACACCGTTTTAACAGACACACCTAAAATCACAAAGAAATCAGTTTAAACTATTATTAATTGATTCATCATTAAACAATATATTGTACTCGCAACCGAAAAAAGGTGAAAACTGACTACTTTATTTATAAATTGAAGTTAATAAATATAAAACTACAATAAAATGCAACACAAACATTTTTTTGTATAAATTATTTAAACTTGACACAAGCCTTACAGAAAATGTTACTCCATAAAATGAGGTAAACATCAATGACCTTACAACCCTAAAATTTACCTGTCATGGCAGCGACTCGCATTTGAACATTTTGTAAAGGGATCAAAACATTGTTATTTTTCTGCTCCAGCTCACAAAACTGTTTCACCTTAAGAATTACTTCTCTGGCTGCACTTCTTATCACTTTACGCTCCATAATCAATCTCCTTCCAATAAAAAACAACTCAAATCTACAATCAACACTCGCAACGCACACACCTGACAAACGACAACATGGCGGAGCTGTCACATTTAGTTCGACGTTTCGCCGTCGGACTTGAGTAGTGGCGCGGACTCTAGTCTGTGCAAGGAACAAACTTTTTAGAAAGATTTGCTGTCTGTCGTTGTCAAGGAGTAGTATAATATACCGGAAAGTCGTTGTATTTGTACAGCATCACTTGTGATTTGTACCGATGAAGTAAAAAATCAAAATAAATGTTGTAAGGGATTTACTATCACATGAGTAAAGGTTTCCAACTAATTCTTTCACAAAATATAGATATTGGCTTTTGTCCAAATAAATTTTCCGCAAAGAGTGGCAAATCATTTATACAGGATGGCCGGAGAGTTGACGTTCAAGCGTAAAATTTAGATACTTTATAATGAGGAGTATCCAAATCACCCCCATGTATGTTCTACGATTATGCGTAGTTTTCGAGTTATATTTTGAAGTTATACTTCTTTAGCCGCGTTATGAAAAAATTATGAAAGTGAAATTTTAAGATGCGCGCGCATCACTGTAACACAAAAGTAACATAACGAAATTAGCCGCGGGCGCGTTATGAAAAAATGATGAGAGTGAAATTTTAAGATGCGCGCGCAACACTGTAACAGAAAAGTAACACCATGAAGTCGGCCGCTAAACCGCACATTACTCGTAAGTCTCAAAAAAAAGCTTCCAACAAAATAGTAATAGGATCTCTTAGTCGCACATATTGGGACGCTCGTCGCCTCTGATCACTGTTTTCATATTTATAATATTTATCCACATGTTTCTAGTTTCTATATTCTTAACACGTGTTATAATGTTATACAAATGCGAAATTTATATGTGCTAATAAATTTTATTCAGTACTGATTTAAATTGAATATTTTGATTATTTATTAAAATTTTCAAATTAAAACTGAACTTTATTGACTGCGTTGACTATCCTTTTTCAATCCTTTTATTATCTTATTGTAATTAATTATCTGCATGCAATTAAAAACTATTTTTTAATAATTCCAAAAAGAAGTATAACTTCTCACGCGCGTACTTAAGTACACGCACCCATATTTTTTTTTAATTATTTTTTTCGTAATTTTCACCTAACATCCGTTTATGGTTTTTTTCTCATTCTGTAGGACGTTTCTGTTTCGGTTTTTTTGTAATAACTGACTAACATAGTTTAACCTATCACCCTAAAACTTATGGTTTATCTAGGCATTGCAGAATTCACTTAGAATTTGTTCGAAAGTTCAAAATTACGATTTGAGCTCAGTACACACAAATTTTCAAAGTATCAAAAAAAATGTAAATGGGGGTGTTTACGGAACGAAATAAAACTAATATATTGATCTAGTGGAAAAACTACTAGTCCTTTAATAAGTTTAGCAGAATATAACACAAAAATCTATAATATTATGAAACACATGTTGAAGTGTATATAAATCTAAAATAAACAAACCAAATAAAATTAATCATTCTCAATTGGGAGGACGCAAAGTTCATGAATTGGTCTTTTAATTACAGAATTCTTACACTTAAGCGTAACGACTCGAACCAAACCATCGCTACCAGGATGTATATCTATAACTTTAGCTATTAACCATTTAGAAGCTGGTAACCTTTCGTCTTTAACAATTACAATCGTACCTATATTTATGTTAGATTGAGTTCCAGACCATTTTTGCCGTTTGTTTAAAGTAACTAAATAATCACTGCTCCATTTACGCCAAAATGACTGCATTTTTTGCTGAAGATAAATCCATCTTTTTGTATTTATGGTACATTGACATTATTAAGATCTTGATCGGGTACGACTAAGGAAGATTCGCCGATAAGAAAATGACTCAGTGTTAAAACATCTAAACTGTCATCTGTGTTGGCGTCGATGGGTGTTAATGGACGGGAATTCAAGCAACTCTCTATCTGGCATAATAATGTTGAATATTCTTCATACGTAAGTTTACTTTCGCCTAGTACTCGATTGAGGTGGAACTTAACTGATTTCACAGCGGACTCCCATAAACCTCCCATATGAGGTGCTCCAGCAGGATTAAATTGCCATTCAGTTCCATCTCGAGCGAGTAAATCAGCTATTTCTACAGGTAAGTCCTTTTTACAGTCTAAAAAAATTTGTTTGAGCTCTTTACTAGCTCCTATAAAATTTGTACCACAATCACTTATCAATTTAGTACAATGACCTCTACGAGATACAAAACGCCTGAAAGCGGCCACAAAACCTTCAGTACTTAAACTAGTAACTAATTCAAGGTGCACAGCTTTGATT